TATCAATTCCATATGATCACAATCGAGATAATCTTGCAAAAAATCGCAATATTGCTTATATAAGGGCGGATCTTTCAATAATCGGTGTTCTAGAGACATGAGACGTTTGAAGGCAATATCTCGAGAATCCTCGAAAATAACTTCAGGAGTATGGAAAGGGAGAGCCACTATGTACCGACCATCATGATTTTTAGAGAGAGTATCCTGATAAATCTTTTCGGCTAATACATCCTCCGGGGATGTAACAACTCTGGACGGAATTTGTTCGAGTTCCCAAAATCTTTGTACGAAATTTTCTAGATGATCTTCACACGAAATTACAAAGGAGTTTATGGTGGGAATTTGAATATCAACTTTTCCCATGATAATAAATCCAAAAATCGTATCAAGGGCAACAGGATCGCTCAAGCAATCATGAGAGTTACCACCTTTTATGACATATGCAAACACATCTGCTCCGAGCAACATGTCTACTGGTCGAGAGAGATTAAAGTCGGGGTCAGCAAGTTTGAGGTTAGAAAATTGTTCGAACTTTTCACTAGATATGGTGGTACAGGGCATATTTGAACAAATCTGCGGCAACACTACCAGATCAATTTTCAGAATAGGCTCTCCTTCGCCGCGCGGCTTCAGTGTAGTAGAAACACTCTGATTGGCAAGTGAACTTTTTAATCCTATTCCTTTGATCTCCATAGATAGAGGAGTGCGTGATAATGCCAATTTATCACAACATTTACTGGTGATAAATGACGACTGACTGGCACTGTCTAATAGTGCACGTACAGGGCGGAAAGTTCCGGTTGCGTCTGCAACTTCAATCATAGCAGTCGAAAGAAGAACAGTACTTCGGATATTAGAGAGCAAGTTAATAGAGGAGACGGATGGGTTCTCATTTATCGAGGCATTATTATGAGTATTCAGACCATTCTTCGGGTTACCGGTACCGGAAGAAGGGGGGATAGAATTAGAAGTATTATTAATTGAGGGATTATAAGCACTGGAGGAGGGTTGGTTCGATGTTTGCTTCGATAAATCAAAATGAAGAAGAGTATGATGGGTCTGTGAACAGTATCGACATACAGCTCGAGAAGAGCAATTTGAAACAGAGTGCCGAGTGCCCAAACAATTTGTGCACCATCTTTTACTCTTTACCAGAGCATATCTATCTTTTGGAGAACGAGAAATCATTTGAGGGCAATTACTAATATTATGATCTTTGTTACATAACGGGCATACTGTCGAAGACACCATATTATTTGAGGAGTTGCTGACAAAACTTGAACTAGTTTTTGCTCGTATTGGGAGTGAGGTTTTATTTATTGAAGAAGACAATTTAAGTCTTGAATTATCAGATTTTTTGACAAATGAATTAGACAATGCAACAGTATCCAAAGCGCTACATTGTTTTTCTAAAAATTCCTTCAATGTTTCATAATAATTATTAATATTCAGTTTAGAAGCACATTCTAGTTCAAATCTAGTCTGAGTATCAGAATCGATACGATCAAACAACATATTAAACGTGATGAAGTCTCACTGTTTTACGGGGAACTGTAAGTTATCCAAAATAGAAAGGTTTTCGGTAAATATGTCTAAAATATGGCGCAACGCAGAGAGATTATCAGCAACATTAATTTTTTTAGTCTGTTCGAGTGCATGCCAATGAGAAGTTGCAATTAACCGTTTATTTTCATATCTTTTTTTGAGGGCGTTATATGCCACAATATAATTTTGAGAGGTCAATGGTGTACATTTGACAATCGAAAGAGCATTGCCTTTTAAGGATGAAATCAAATAGTTATATTTATCGATATTGGACAGTTGAGTATTGTTATGTATCAAAGAATCAAACATATCATTATACGTTTGCCATTCTCTAATATCCCCATCGAATGTCGGAAGCTCCATCTTAGGTAATCGAACATTACACGATCGTGTATTTTCATTACTGGCAAGCTCTTTGTCCTCGAATAATCGGGAATAGGTTTCTTGCACCTGATAATACGTATTGAAAAATATTGACATTATAGTATGATGTGGTTGAACATCTCCACCTTCTTGGCCCGAGACGATATTGACGATATCTCGTTGAACAGCTTCGAAATTCACTAAAATAGTATCCAGATGTTTGTAGCGACATTTAAAATTGTTATGAGTATTCGTATCGAGTAAAGACTCTTCAGCAATGCGATTGATATCGTTTAATTTAATTATCTCTGACTCCCGTTGCGCTATCAATGCCTTTAATTTTTTATCCATCTTGTCAAATGTTAACCAGATAGGTTGATGTTATCACTAGAGTTGGAGAAGATAGTAACAATTGAGGTTTAACCACGTAAAAAATACGTGAGAAATTATAACAGAAATTATAAATATTGTTTTTAAATTATTGAGAAACTTATATGAGTTTATTTCAATACAAATTGAATTATTTTGAGCATAAACAGAAATTTATCGAAACGAGAATTTCAGCTATCAGCTGTTGGGACGAAAGCCCGCACAAAGAAGAATACGTGATAAGGTGAGATAGTGGGAGTTCAAACAAAATGTCATCAAAATGAGACTATCCAGCTATCAGCTGTTTGGAAGAACGCAATCACAAAGGAGAATAATTGATAAGGTATTATAGTGGGAGATGCGCAGACACCTGTCGCTACCTTACCTGCGTGAACAATTTGCGCGATCGGTACCATAGATAGGTCAATTAAAAACCTTATTAATGTCTGCCAAAAGACTTCGCCGAAATAAATAAATTATGCTAATTATGCAAATTAACAAATTTTGGCTAACATAAGAAAATTACAAATTGACTTTAATTGATAAATCCGGCTCCGAATGGATCAAAATGTTTCATGATTCGAGATATGAATAAATTAGTGGACTGTATGGTTTAAAAATTCATCGAAATCACAGAGCGGTCTATAAAGGCCACTTACCCATGATGTCTTCTTGCCACGCCAAATTCGTATAATTTGCAGTCTTGGAGATGGTACCATCGACGACCCACATCTGATACCCAGAACAGGACACTATGATTGCACTATATTGTTTTTCGTCTAATTGTTCATTATAGGAAGGAATTTAACTTTTGTTGGAGATTCACCGGTGTAATTAAAAACACGTGTATAGCTCTCAGAGAGTCATTAGAGAGAGAGAGTCATGGTTTTCGTGGTACTACGTCCTCGTGATTCTCTCCTTTGGAGAGGGGAAAGGATCCATGTGCCCCTAAGTATAGTGGCCAATAGATACTCTGTGATTGAATACGCGCGAAAAATTAGGATAAATATATGAGACTATCAACTAAGTCTTTTGGCAATTGTATAAACTTAAATATCTATTCATCAAATACTGGCTTGATGAAACACCCATCACTTTCCGGTTTGAGCAGAATTGACCCCATCTTTCAATTTTCAAACGGGACATCCTGTATTTTATGCCATCATAACGTATTCAACAATACTGGGATTTAGAGAAGAATTATTACGAACGATTACGAAGATATTCTCGTTCGAAATTTCCATCTGCTCAATAAGACGTATGACAGAGAAAATGTTTTTTTTTTTAGGCAATATTATGTTGTCTTCAAACTCCAGTGACAATTCTCGCACGATGTGGTAGTTCATTATCATCAACCAGTATGAAATTGTCACCTAAACTTTTGGGCAACTGGAACGACAACTTCCCTAACACAATGACTGTCTTATTGATACCGAAGGGTATTCATACTCTCTTTCCAACCAACGTGGGGCAACGATTCATCATGATACCGCACCATGTCAATTTTATATACTACATCCCCTATATTCGAAAATGTACAACACATTGTGTAGTAATGGCGTTGAAGATATGCCAATGTAAAATTCAGTTGAAGTTGAGTTTATAGTGGTTGAACATATCAGAATTCAATATGTTGTGATAAATTCCATACATTCAAAATCCTGTATGAATCCTCTTGAATTCAAAACCATTTTGAGCAAATTCATTGTTCGTCATTTAATCGCCCTCAATAAAGCATAAAAAAAATCCCGGTGAAACGGGGTGATCCCAAACTTTTTGAAAATTATCACATTTTCAGATATCACCCAGTAGGTCTTCATGTCGAAAAGAATAACAAAAAAGTACTGATGTTGTACCCAATGAAATGAGCTACCAGATTGTTGAACGGAATTGAAAATTGGTTGATCCACTCCAAAGTTATGTTTGTTTTATTGTTTATTGTTTATTGAAAAACTAGCTTCCAGTCAGAAATAAAATTCTGGTATGAGGAAGTTGATTACAAACAACAATAATAAAATAATATAAGGTGACAACAACAACAACAACAAAAAATCTAAATAATCTAAAAATGCTAAATCGATCAAGTCATAAAATCTAACTAATCAGTAGATGGCAAAGTATAAATTTTATCCATTTCGTAATGAAATCATGTGTTATTTTAATTCAATTCTAAATTTTGAAATATGTCTGCAATTTTTTATATTATGTGGAAATTTATTAAATTCAGCTAGAGCAGCGTGAGTAAATTTTTTTTGGCCAATTATAGAAGTAGCACAATCAAGAGGAAATAAGTTTGATTGTCTCGTGTGATGACCATGAATTTCTGAGTTTATTATCAAAATAAAATTGGATTTCAGATTATTGTTTATTATATTACATGAAACTTTAAGAGAATCTATTTTATATCATTCATCCAATGAAAATTTTTCTGTTATGGCATATAGATCATTTGTTGGGATATCAAATGAGAGGCGATACAATACTTTCAGTGCTTTCTTATAAAGTGCAGATATTTTACTGAAATAATTTTTTGAACAAGATCCCCAAACGTTTATCATATAGGTAATACGACTGAGTATATGAGAATGAAGTACTATGTTTATGAATTTTTTGTCAAGTTGAGGACATCTTCTCAAAGCTCCAATGATTGTTCGAAAATGATAAAAGTTTCTGCTTTTCTCACTTCAAATGTGGAGCAGTTTATATATTCTTCTCTCTCCCAGGTCCTCGAGCTGATATGCACGCGAGAAGCGGGCGCCGTCTTCGACGCGGGCGGCCTCGGCTGCATCCTGCCCTTCATCCGCGACCAGGGCCAGCGCGTCCACAAGGACACGCTCCACTCGTCGATGGCCGTCGTCTCGCGGCTGTGCTCGAAGATGGAGCCGGCCGACGCGCAGCTGCCCACCTGTGTGTCCGCCCTGAGCGCGCTGCTGAGGCACGAGGACGCGCACGTGGCCGAGGGGGCGCTCAGGTGCTTCGCGTCCATAGCGGATAGGTTTACGAGGAGGGGGGTGGATCCGGCGCCGTTGGCGCAGCACGGTGAGTACTTGGAAAAAAAATGCAATCCGAGATGGGTCTGGGATAGTTTGGAAAGCAAATAAACTGAAACATGTCTTCCCTGGTTTCTTCCTTTCGAAAATGAAGTGAAAAATATTTAGGGTTATGTTGAAGTTACATTAACCTAAAAACTATGACAGCTGAGTTCGGAAAAGGAAAAGTGTCTATTAGGGAATCCAACGACCTATCAAACAATTTCAAAATGGCGTCTGGTTAGCGAACAAACCAAAGACAAGTTCGTTTACTTGAGGACTTTGTGGGTTTTGGAAGCCTTTTAGAGTATTATTTCATTTAGTTTTGGTTAGATTTATTGTGAATAATGAAAACTCAGTATGATTTTAAAGAAAAAAATGCCAGTAACGTGTATAGTGGTGGATTGTGAAAGCCGTGCAGATCGGAACCATTTGCTGTTTTGGCACATTCCTATTGTGATACTGTGAAAAACTCTGTGCATTACCCACAGATGAAGGATCTACCAAGAACAATAAGGGAAATGTGGATAGCAGCCATCAAGAGAAGGGATCAGCAACAGAATCAATCATAATAAACCAGAGGATATGTGGCAGACACTATTTTCATAACAGGTACCTAAGAAAAAGGATTTTAATATTATTCATATGTACCTACCTACTCTTGAACTGATGAATTTAGTGTTTCATCCTATGGAATACTCATCTTTCTTTCATTTTGATAAAATAAACCAATACTCATTACATTTGATGGTCCTACATAGTTTGGAAACATCATGTTTTTAATACATATATAATTTATTAACCTTGTAGGAGAACCTAGTGCCTGAAAGCTTGGGTTTCATTGCAATATAATATAGGTCAGCAATCTCTAGCCCATTCAAAATGCAAGACTGCTGTGGATCAAAAACTGAGAGCAGACAAAAGGTTTTAATCATAAATCAAGCATCAGAACCAAGAGACCCGGTATGTTCTCAAGAAAACATCTAATTACCTAATACTACTACTACAAAAATTTATATTCATTTTAGTGTAACGTAGAAAGTGTCTTGATGAAGACATAGAAGAAAAAAGTGTTGAAAACAAGGTGAAAATATACAAGATTATACTTTTACAAATTACAGTTTGTTGTGATTTATTTTTATCAATTATAAATAAAAGACAAATATAGTATAGTCTTTGTTTGCCAACCAGACGCCATCTTGCCAGCTGAAATGTCACGTGGTTTGGATTGCCTAATACACTTTTGACACAGTGTTCACCGTACCGTTCGTTTAATGATTAGGTGTAAGTTCAGGGTGCACTATTCAACGTTCTGAATAGAAATATAGGTGCGATTAGTGCTCACACTTTTTACTCCTCAGATTTCGTCTGTGGATATTGGTACACCAAAAATTTCAACCCCAAATTTTATTGACAAGACATCATTTCCTGTGAATATACTAAAAATATGCATTTTTCCTTTATAAAAGCTAGAGGATATCCAGAAGTAAATGGAAATGGTGAATGTTATTTCCCAGTTATCATAAGTATACAAATGTGAACAATTCATTATCTTGTTCGGTGAACAGCTAATTGTTTTTCTGTAGATTGTTATTCAACTAGGAAATAAATAAAATGAAGCCAATGAAAAAAATGTAATAATTTCATTCACATGTTAGTAGATATCATATGAGGTCAATGTGATTCACATCACTATACAATATACATCACCTGAAACTTTCAACATTCCCTAAATACCACATAGAGACAATGAATATGTATTTACCATATTTACAAAATAATTTGACATCCGATGTTCGTTGTTGTTTTTGTCTGTCAGACGAGCACCATGACGCCAATGCGCGTTCGTTTATTTTCCGTGCAGTGCTATGAGCAAATGACACCAAAATCATATGACTTTCGCACTGAACCAAACAACACCACACCATCTCGCCTGACACCGTGTTTTCTGAACTCACCTGACATGAATCCACCTATCCACTTGAAATGAATCCAGAATCATTCATTTGAGTGCAGATCCTCTACAAAACGAACCTATTTCGTATGAATCTAAGTATTTCCGGCTGAATATCCATGTTCAAGAACCCTTAATATGTCTGTTGTTTGTTATTTTTGGTGGATTTCTCATATAATTTGATCTTTCATTCTGCTCGGAAGTGTCTCTTAAAACTCAAAAAGCGCCGAGATTGAAAATCTATGGCATAGTCGCATGCGCATCAAAAATTATTCATGATAGTCATGAACAGTTCTAGCTCAGCAGTTTGAACTGCTATGGACCGGTTCGAAAATGTCCCAAGCTAGTTTTTGAAATAAGAAAGAAAAGAAAAGGAATTTGTATTTCATCCATACACTTATCCTCCTATCATGCAAAACTTTTTATGTTAAAGTCAATTAAATGCATACTTACACTTACCCTACTTACTTTGAATACTATTATATTAGAGACTTTATTACTACACTTTCTCCTCAGTCGATTTATCCATTTCTGAATGTGCTACTAACCTTAGATTGATAATCTAAACTAATATAATATACTTCCTCAAATATATTCTTGTCATTAGAAATAATATAATTATAGTCCATTATACGTCTAATACTCACTCACAAAATTGAAGTCTATTAAATAATCAAAGAAATCTTATCCATAGACAGTCCTCGTGAAGGACTAAATGGTGTTTCTGTTTATTTTCATAGGCAAAAATTTGTAAAACATGTATTATTTCCACTTATGTGAATTTTCTATTCTATTCTATTCTACTTGTTGTATTACACACGATAATTTTTCCTTCAGGTTTGGTAAACGAATTACTGAGTAGGCTCTCGAATGCCGCCGGTCCAGCGATCGCTAGCGGCACCCAATCCACACCTGGCAAAGCGACGTCCACCAATAGCACTCCCGCACCTACTCCTGACTCCAAAGCAAACGCCGCTTCTGTTTCGACAATAATCAGCCTGTTGTCAACGCTATGCAGAGGATCACCTACCATCACACATGTGAGCAACATTTGTTTGAATTAATAATAATGATAATAAAAGTGCTTTATTGGTTACCCAATTGGCCACCGACCGAAGCCATTCAGCCTGTAATACATTAAAATCTATTGTATTTCATTTCTTTCATTGAATAATGAAACATAATCGCTATTTAATCATGTAATAAATGATGATTCCCCAACTGAATTTCAAGTATCAGTCCAAAATCTGTAAACAAAAAATAACATCAAGAGCAAAATATTTCAGAAGTCTTACATACAAACAAAATGGTATCAACATCGGAGCAGCAGCAAATATATATAAATCCATATGCAGACCTTTGTTGGACTACGGACATACGATATATCTAAACTGCAGAAATCCTACCATGCAGAAAATAAAAACTGCAGAAACGTCATCCCTAAGAACAATAACTAGAATGAGACACCCTGACAACTACCTACACAACCCTTCTATTCAATATTTGTACCACAAAACTAAAATAGAACCAATAGAAGAATGGCTGAGGAAGTTATCCCAAAAATTCGCCCTCAAGACCAGCAACATGGAGCTTTCAATACCCCACTTGATTCTAAGAGAAGATATGAGATCACGTTTCAAATTCCCAGAAAAAACAATACAGGAAATACTTTCATAATTTAGTGAAGATCAGTTGGACTAAAGATTTATAAGTTTAAATTCTTTTTTTTCAATTCACATTTTTATGCAAATGAAATTATTGAAATACCATGTATATTGAAATTTACTGGCTGCAGGACTTTGGTCGGTGGCCTTTTGGTTGTAATTTATAACCAATAAAGAGCATTTATTATTATTATTAATGAAACATAATCATAATTTTGTGAATTATTGTTTGATGTGAGTAAAAAAAATAAGGAAAGTGTTGAAGATTGATCAATTACTTAATTTCTTGGCATTTCTGCAATGTTGGTGATGCATTCCACCAAGGTATTTACTGGAAACTTGTGACTTGAAGTCTCTGTATGGTGTCTTACTTTCATTGTTGGAGAACTTCTGTGCTAGTTTTTCCAGCCTCTCGCTAATTGGTTGTACATTAGTGAGTTGGTAGTGGAGTTCATTTGGAGGGTTGTGAAGGGTGTTTTGAGGATGTCGTATTTTCGTGATTGATCTCAGGCTAGATCTTTCTGCTACTTCTAGATTCTTCATGGGTGGCTTTCTGGTGTTGATGTATATTGGGTGAGCATATTCGAGTATGGGGCGGCATATGGCTTTGTAAATGTGAGCTGCTGTTTTTCTGCTAATTCCCCTCTTCTTATATGTTAAGTTCCGAAAATGTTTGGCTCTTGTGACACATTTTTTTTCATGAGTTTAGAGTGGTGATTGAAGTTCAATTTCTGGTCCACCTGAACTCCTAAGTCCACCTAAGTAATTGGCTACTGTACTCGTTCTAACTATATGATTATTCACACTGACTGAAGGTGAATTATTGGAGATATTATGGTTGAATATTATCAGTTAGAATTTCTCTGGGTTTGGCCTCAGTCTCCATTTGTCACACCATCTCATTTGTTTGATTTTTTAAAGAAACTTAAAAAATCAAAACCAATCAATTATTCACCGTGATTTTTTCACCAAGATAGTTTGAGATGAGAGGAAAAGAATGGCTAAACAGGCTGAAAGGCGTCGAACAGGGGGGGGTTATGGGGGTAATTACCCCCTCCAAGAATAATAATTTGTGATTTGTTTGTTCAAAGAAGTTTAGTTTTGTTTCTAATTTTTATATACATAACCATTACCCCCCCCATCGTCGCCCCTGTACAGGCTTACTGACAAAAAACGCCCCAAGCTGTAGCTTTGTTTTTAACTATCCGATTTTGATAAACAAAATACAATTACTCATTGTATCAGATGACCATCATTTTTTCAAATTTCAACAACAGAATAATACGTTGATTTTTAGACACAATTGTACCGTCCTTTCATTGGAAAACATTACATAGGCAGAGTATCCGGTCGTGCTCGTAGGAGAAGAGGATTAGCGTCGAGAGATCACTGGCTGGCTGCTTTCGCTTTCACAAGCTATCAACATCGAGCTTATGAAATACCTGGAACATTCAGGTATTTTCAATGATAGGCAATATGGCTTCCGTCATCAGAGATCAACTGGTGACCTGCTCACTTAGGTCTCACATACATGGCAGCAATCTATTGAAAAATATGGTGAAACCTTAGCCCTGGCACTTGATATCGTCAATGCATTCGATCGAGGCTGGCACCACGGACTCCTCGCCAAGGTTTCATCTTATGGCTTGCCTCCCCTGCTATATTTTTTGCAAGCTAGTTTTCTCTCAAACAGGTCTCTTCATGTAGTGGTCGACGGAGTTTCAGCTGACTCTCTTATCATATGTGCTGGTGTTCCGCAAGGATCAATTCTAGCACCAACACTATTTTTACTCCATATCAACGATTTGCTGTGTCCAAGTATTCTTTATCACTCGAGCCTGAATCGTCATCGTCAATAATCGTAGAACCTATGGAGGCTACAAGAATTGATTGCTCTTCCATGTCAAGTAATGAATATTGAATATCTAGTCCAGATAAACGAGAAACTACAGACTGGCAAATTTCACCAGCTGATCAACTGCTGCTGACTATTGATGAAAACCATGAAAACGAGTCCCGAATCACAGCACTGTATTTTTGATTTTATATTTCGGAACACAGATTTTCAGCAGATTCAGCGGATCTACTGACAGTACTGACCAGTTGAATTCAGAATATAGCCTTTACAAGTTCCTTTTCCCATTCCAGAACCTGTTGCGCTCCGAGCTGCTCGACGCCATCGAGAAGGCCGTGAAGGGCGACGAACGGTGCACGCTCGACTCGATGCGGCTGGTCGACCTGCTGCTCGTGCTGCTGTTCGAGGGAAGACGGGCGCTGGGCAAGGCGGGCGGCGGCGGCGGCGCGTCGGGGCAGCTGGTGGCGCGCGTGCGCCGCATGGACTCGGCCGCCGAGAAGTCGCACCGGCAGCTGATCGACTGCATCCGGTCGAAGGACACGGACGCGCTGATCGAGGCGATCGAGAATGGGGGCGTCGAGGTAACGATTGTGTTTGTTACACCAGAGTAGATTGTGTAGCACTGATACCGTTCGGTGTTGAATGGTGTACACTCACACTGTGTGCGTTGTCAAAAGTATTGTAACGCAATAACTGGAGATAATTTACCGCCAACACAGAGTGAAAAATATGGGTTTGACTTTAATCAATATGGTTTTCAAGAGAAAAGTGGTACACAATCAGCAGTTTTACAAGTAATCAATTCTATACAAGATACACTTGACAAAGGAAATTATGTAGTAACTATTTTTATGGACCTCAATATTTTCCTGAAAAACCTTAATTCAATGGGCATCAGAGGTATTGGAAACAATCTCTTGAAATCATATCTAGAAAAAAGGACTATCAGTACTAAAATCAATAATTGTGAATATATAAACAAAGGAGTTCCCCAAGGATCAGTGTGGAGCCCAATTCTGTATCTTTTATACATTCAACACATTTCAAAAATAAATTTAATTGGAAACTGTGCCATATATGCAGATGTCACACTAATTTTATTTGAAAACAGAAACCCTGTAATTTCAGAAAACAACATAAATGAGGATTTGAAGAAAATGGAAGAATGGCTATACTCCAATCTTCTTTCCCTTAATTCTAATGAGACCCAATTTATAATTTTCCATCAAAGAAATAAACAAAATATTGATTTGAATATTAGAATAAAAATTTAAGATTTAAACAAACTGCCTATACCAAATACCTTGGTATTCAGATTGATGAAAAGCTAACATGGCACAAGCATATTGGCATGCTCAAAGAAAAAATGTCTCCCATAGTTGGTGTCCTAAGAAGATATCCAAAACGTATCCCAAATATAACAAATACCGTTCTATAAGTACTCTCACATCCTTAGTATAATGAACTTTCTCCTAATTATTTGGGGTTCATGTTCCGAGAATAATTTCAACAAAATATCTGTATTATATGAAAAAGCATTAAAAGTACTGCATCGTCTTCCATATGACACCCTATCAAATCAACTTAATGAAGAAACAGATACATTTTCTTTGGAAGAGCACTATCTGATAAATACTCTCAAAATTTGTTTCATCTTCATGCTGCTAATTCTACACTTGGCCAAAAAAGGGTCACTCACGGAGCTATCTCAAAATTCAATAAATTACCGGTATCAAAATTTGCACAAAAATCACTCAATTCAAAATTAAAGTCAAGAAACATATCCTCTTGCAAAGAGAAAATCAAACCTGAGTGAATGATTTCTCATTCACTAATTTATTTCATCATGTCATAATGTACTTTTCATGAGCTTTTTGTTTTATTATTATTATTTTTGAATCAGTTGTTCATTTCAATAACTTAGATTTAATAACGCATGAATAATTTCATACCAGATATGAAAAAGAAAAAATACGTATATATTAGATGTTAACAAACTCCACAGATAAAAACCTCAATATTTGAAACTTCCCATTATCCGAAGCAACGTTGTTGTTAATAATAAGGAAGGATATACAACATAATATATACAGGGTGTTCGGTAAACCATGGATCATACTCTAGCTGATGATAAACAAGTTCATAAACTATCAGAAAACCATGATTCAACCTACTTTTAGGTTAAGTATCAATGTGCCCAATTGATGTCACACACCAATTTGACATTTTGTCTGTCTAAAAAAAAAATGAAAGAAAACGTGAGGACATACGACCGTAACTACGACACTGATTAAAAAAATTCAAAAATGGAAACACCAATTACCTTGATTATTCTGGAATGGTATAACAATTTCCAATTTTGAATTTTTTCCCTATAGGGGTTCTGATGAAATTAATATAAACCTTTTTTTTCGTACTTCTGATAGAAGATGCATTTTAGGACATACGTTGATGGGAACTTTTGACCTCAAAATGAGGTTAGGAATTCGTATACGAAGTATATCGATCTTATTCTGACTCACCCTATATAGCCAGACAATGTACATACTTTCTGAATCATGTACAGGGCATGTGGCATGTGCTGCTTTTCTGCCATATGAAACTTTTTTTTCTCCAAATTTGTTCCAATTTCATGCAGAGTCCAAATAATCGCAGCATTTTCGGACATAATAACATGTTAATATGAACTTTTTCTCATATTTTGTTGGGAGGAATCCCCCCTGGGCTTTTGTCACCACAACTTTGAAACACCCTGTATAGAGTGATTCAAATTCGGCAGGTGAATTTCATGGACGACGTCGGGCAGACGCTGCTCAACTGGGCGTCGGCTTTCGGGACTCAAGAGATGGTGGAATACCTGTGCGACAAGGGGGCGGACGTCAACAAGGGGCAGAGGAGCTCCTCGCTGCACTACGCCGCATGCTTCGGGCGGCCAGCCATTGCCAAGGTACGAGGGTCACTCTGACAAAAAGAATTCCTTTATCATGAAATTTGAAGAAAAACATGAATTAGTGGCATTTAGGGTCCCTTGATGTAACTTGACGTATTTGTCATCTTAACAGGGTACGGACAGATCCTCGTCTCCTCTCACTCTGAAGTGTTTGTGAAACAGTTATATAGTTCCTTCCTTATTCATTTCTGGGGATAAACACTAGATTTCTGACATTTGTTGTTTTTTAGGTTATATTGAGGACATTGGCGTATTATACGTAATTTCCACATGTAATTTCTCATTCAACTCTACATATTATATCCAAATGATGATGATTTGATTTTTCAACTGCAGCATAATCTTATTTGTGAGGCAGTGAGCAAATTTTTCTGAAAGTTTAATACAAGTTTTACCAAATGGGACTGTTCTTAGGCAGTACCTATCAATTAATGAATTTTGATATCAGACTAAGCCTTATGGTTGAGAAATGGTTAAAAATGTTATGTAGGTATTTGAACTGATGTGCTCATATGTCATGTGTGCTGTATATATTCATGTTGGGGATCATTTTTGCAGTTTTTCACGAACCCTTAATATTTCCTAAATGTAGGTATAATTTTTCAAATGATAGGGCATATGCCTCTCTCCTTTTAATTCCCGTTTTGATCACAACTGTTTCTACTAAAATGCATTCAAAAACTTGTGGAGTGTATAGTTATAAGCACAATATTTTTCAACCAGAAAGCCATAAAATATTTAGATATTACAAAATTCTTAGGTCTTTATATTGATGAACAATTATCGTGGACTAAACATATAGATCACCTGAGAAAAAAGCTCAATCCAATTACTGGCATTTTATACAAAATTCGAAATTTCATTCCTCTTAGATATTTGAAGAATATATATTTCTGTCTGATTTACTCAAAATTACAATATTTAATATCAATTTGGGGAAGCACAAGTATATCACATTTGAAACCATTAATGAAATTACAAAATAAAACAATTAAGTGCATTTACAATTTACATTACCTGGAACCAACTATTAATCTTTACAAACCAAAAAATCTGTTGAATTTATCATCTTTATATAAAATGAAAATTTGTTCTTTCATCCATTTTGTGAGAAAAAAAATAAAAATATCCAACTTGAACTTTACTGAAGTAAATACAATTCATACTCATGCAACGAGACAGTTGAATTCATTAATAGCAAACCCATATAACTCCATCATTGGCAAACAATCAGTATTCTACAACGGAATCATTTTATATAATTCATTACCTTATGATTTGAAACATATTGATGATGAAACAAGATTCAAAGTCAATATGAAAAAATATATACTCATGACACAATAAACGGAGCAATTTATTCTCATTTGAATACTTGGAATGGTTTTATTTTAATTATTATGTTATATTGACATAACTTGTTAATTAGTTTTTTTTTTTTTTTATTGTTTTATATATATATATATATCATATGTTTATGTATCCCTATTATAAACAAATATGTTTCTTGGGGTAATAAAGAACAACAACAACAACAACAACAACAATAATATGTGATTTCGTATTAGTGTCACCTCGAATATTTTGCTGATGTATTTACCAAATTTGGCCATTTGGTCACTTCACTTTCCATGTTCTAAGTTGATGTGCATTTGATGGTAAGCTGAAAAATTCAAATTTGCCATCCAACTGATTGATATTGCCTAACGCAGCACATTTTATTATTGAATAATGTCGTATTAGGATCAAGTATGAAATTGAAATTTTGTAACGCCTATGAATGTGACGTGACAGCAATGTCAAGTCAGGGTGGCCAATACACGAAACCAAAGTTTCTAGATGATGAGAAGAGAAAGGAGCTATGATCTGTCCGTACCCTGTCAGATGACAAATACGTCAGTTTGCATCAAGGGACCCACCCTAGTGGCATAATTCATAGGAAAATGCATTTTTATAACTATTTTACCTAAATCAGAATTGTACTTACTACATAATTCGTAAAACGTTATCAAGCTGATAATTTAGCTATGTTATGACAAGAACCGAACAGATTCGACCCGGATTATATCAACTCAAGAATGAACTGTAATATCATGGGTTCCTCCTATTATGGTTCATTCATCTACAGGACTCTTAACATCTTTTTGATAACTTGATTATGATTGGTGAATTGACAACCTTGCTTCATGAGTTGGAATGGAAGATTTTCTGACCAATAACGGAACAGCATAAAAACTGGCGTCACAATTCATTCGACGTGCCAAATGGTGGCCATGACGGTGCGTTTGAAATAAGCTCTGAAATTCAACAATTTCGAACAACACATAGACTAATTATTCACATAAAAAAGCGTGAGAATTGTTGCAAAAATTAATTTAGGTCCCTAAACACACTGTGGAGTAATTGAATGTCAATAATTCATTATCAGTTTTCTCGCCCATTGTTGGGGATTGTTCTTGTTCTCTCTAGCGGTAAAGAAACCTTTGGATTTTCAATACCTATTTAGAGGTCTCATCCTGAACTGACGACATATCCGATTTTCGAAAGCTCTTATAGCTGCCGCACAGAACTCCAGCTGTATCAGTGCCAATTATTCATAATTCACGTCCACTGGTAGAATTGGAATACCTTGAACAGATTGATCCTCGTGCTTTGAAACAATGCTAATTCCAAAAATAAATCTTGATAGTCCGAGCTAAAGTTATAATACAAATTGATATGACAAGATTGGCGAGTGTCAAATTCAGGAAAATCTTTAAATGCCAACTTTGTTTCATCGTCTTACGGTACTGATTCTGGAACGATGATTTATAACGTTGAGGTGAGTTACGGTATCTATAAATCAGGAGTCACTGTCACTGCTTGTGCAAAACAGCAGTGTCAAGTACATTAAGGAACTCTAGTGTAAATAATCGAGGATTTTAATTCTATCGTGTTTTACTTGGCAGGTGTTGCTGCGCCACGGCGCCAATCCAGACCTGCGCGACGAGGACGGCAAGACTCCTTTAGATAAGGCGCGCGAAAGAGCGGACGAGGGCCATCGCGAGGTGGCCGTCATCCTGCAGAGCCCCGGCGAGTGGATGGTGCCGGTCGACAAGGAGCGCACCGGCAGGCGGTCTGAGTCGGAGAGCAACGACGAGGCCATAGGTAGGATTCGCAGGATACTCTTCAAAATATATCTTATTGTCGATATATCAACTCTTCCATAGGAAACGCAAACTCGAAAATTACAGATCGCTGGCTCAAATCCTGCTCGAAGGACCAAATATTGTTTTGTGGATATCCCTTTATCGTATATGTATAAACGGGGATAGATCGACTTGAATTTTGATGGACTGTATTTTTGGTGTGATATTTGCATGAGAGTTTGGTTGCTTACCGAGTTTTCCTTTTGTGTGGTTACGGGGTGGCCCATGGAGAAAGTTCCACCCAAGCTCTCTCTATTGTGATGCAATCAATGATTATTTTTCATCTACGGCTATGATTGATTTGACAGAAAATGTAACCTCTAAAATCGTATCTGACATCAGGCGCTACTAGGGAAATTGAAAAGACAAAGGGAAGAATATATGTCTTATTCTTTTATTCACTCAAACATAGGTCGCGTGCACGATGTACGACCCTGGAGGTAAAATATTGAAACACATACTCACTTTTCTCATTTATTTACGAAGGAATCAAAGAATTGAAATAGTTTTTCACAATATTTTGGCCTACGAATCATGTTTTTTGGACTGTGCTGTTGTACAATGCACAAAGAATGCTGCGAGAGACGAAGAAATATGATTTTTCAGGAAAATAGTGATCTCACATAGTTTTTATTATGAGAGTTTGTCATTTCTCATTAGAATTCCTTCTGCCACTTCTGCAATAGAAGCTAATAATAGAGTGAGTAGGTCATAAGTCCTCCCGTTTGATTGAATGAATCCAATCTACTTGGTCGAAGCCCTGAGGGGGCAGAAGGATGATCTAGCCTTCATAGCCATCTAGTGGCTTAAGTGCAAAGGTGTATGGGTAGATTCAACAATCATACCTAAATAAATAAATACCTTGCGAGTACGTCGTGCATATAGACCCCTACGTCTATATGCTCACAGAAAAGACACCATGTCAGAATTCTGTAGACTATCGCAACACCTGTAATTCTCAAAGTGGTTTAATGTTCCACTAACAGATGGTGATAATCCTAGAATCTCAAGACTAAGAGATTCTAGCGAAATTTCGTGAATCGATTGTCAGCTGATGCAAGACAGACTGTTTCGACTTGCCATTAGTCTCATCAGTTGCACTGGCCAGCTGACAATCGATTCACGAAGGGTACCTCCATATATTTAAAAAGTCGAATCTACTTGTCTTCTTTTTGAAACTTCACGAGTATTTCTATTAGCTCATATAGCACAATGAATTCCAATGGGAAATGACAAAGTTTCAGAAGAAAAACTATATACGAGTGACTAGAACTTTTAGATCACAATTCACCTACCTGAAAAATCGGATTCCTTCCACAATTTGATGGCATGCTTGAATTGATGGAAAGCCGAAAAACACGATTCGTATGCTAAAATAATTGTGAAAAACTATTTCAATCATTTGTAAAAATATTAATCGGGGGGTCGGTCAACTGACAGATCTTGCACCCACCCTATTATAATTTAGAAAATAAAAAAGGACAAAAGTTCAGCTGTGTCAGAACTCATATCTACTAATACCATCCAGTGACTCTACTGTGTACAACCCCATTCTTTCATTTCGTTCCTTAGAGCCGCGCGGCGACCCCGAGATGGCGCCCGTCTACCTGCAGCGCCTGCTGCCCGTGTTCTGCGCCACGTTCCAATCGACGATGCTGGCGAGCGTGCGCAAGGCCAGTCTCGGTCTCATCCGGAAGATGGTGCACTACATCCAGCCGGGGCTGCTCGAGGAGCTGTGCGGCACGGAGACCAATCCGAACTTCGGCACGCAGATCGTCGAGGTAGTGGCCACCGTGCTGGATAACGAGGTGGGTTGTTGTTTGTAGTGGCGTGTTGTCCATGGAAGCTAGGGAAGCGAAGCTTCCTTCGCCCGAAAATCAGAATCATTATCTAGCTAGATCATTTTTATAATGTATGGGGTCATGTAATTATTTGTATTCCCATATTTCAGTGCTAAATAAGAGTAAATTGACAGTTTGTGATCTCCATTGTCAACATTTCTCAAACAATTTTTGGATGGTTTTCTATCCAAATTGGGGTGGATTTTCTTATTTTGTTCATTTCAGGAGGACGAAGAAGGACATTCAGTGGTGCTATCGATTATACAAGATCTCATGACTAAATCCCAGGAGGTATTCCTGGATCATTTTGCCAGACTGGGCATTTTTACCAAAGTTCAAGCTTTGGGAGGGCCTCCGGAATCACAAGAAAATGAAGAAGCAGAGGCCTCTGTTGAAGGTAAAATCAATGTTGAATCCACATTGCCAAAATTACCAGTGATATATCGTCGAATGTTGATACATTTTGACGCTATGTTTCTGTTTGCTGTAGGTACACAGGTTGATTGATTCAAGCATATATAGAGAAAATAATGTATAACTGCATTAATGTTTCACGGAAACCAAAACTAAAATTTCTATTTAGAAAATACTTGTTTTCCAGAGCCTTCATAAATGAAAACAATGTACCCAGAAAAATAGCACGGCACTGTACTAGATGTGTCCCCTGAGTGGCATAGCTTCTATCCTATGACATCAGAGGTCTAGATAGTAGTTTATGTAAGTGGATGTAACCACCGACATGCGAATGCAAAAAATAACACTTGAATGTCCGAACACTATGATGCACCGACATATACATATATCTAGACCGCCAATTCCATAAGAAAAAATGTGGGCCACTCAGGAGATCGAACTGGTGTTACTGATTCATGTGCATTTAGGATTCGTCATATTACACTCATGAATCCGAGGAACATAGGCATATCGAAAGAAAAAGGTTGGGAGGGGTTTACATGGAAGGTTGATAAACCATACATCATGTAGTGAGAAACGAATGAAATTTGCCATATTCAGGTATCATAGCTTCCAAATACTCAGATTCGAGAACTTTATTTCAAAAAACGGCGTATATTCATTATTACAGTGCTTTGTGAAAGTTATCATTCAATATGAAAAGGAGAGTGTTTATTATTATAGAAGATCTTTTTTATCAGAGATACCTAACAAATCTCGCAAACAACAACTAGTGATTTTATCAATTTCAAATTTCACACTGGATAAGTGTCACAAGTATTGTGTAATTTCTCAATGTACTTATACCCACTTGAATAATTCTCACACATAAGAACAAAGCACTTCATCTCTCCTAAGATCTCCCCGAATGGCGAAAACAAAACGAAAAAATTAATATCACTTCACTTGATATTATTTATTAAAGCCAGTGACTATAAGCCGATGCAAAAAGCAAAATGGATACTCGGTCGATTTCGATACCACCTCGAAGTCATGAACGACAGTTTTGGGGTTCCTGCGTTGAACAGAAGCGTTTTTCAGGCGATCAATTCCCCCTTCATTTTCGGGTTGGTGCTATGTGACCACTAGCACTCTAGATTAGGTATTTTTGTCGGTGCTATGATGATACAAATTGATATCACAAGATTGGCGAGTGTCAAATTCACATACAATCATACATTGAAATCTAGGTTAGGTTTGGTTAATTTAGTCGCGAGAACTAGTTTTACATTTGAAGGGCTTAATGTGAAACAATGACAAGCCACACACGGGTCCAAAAAGAGAGTGCTCTTCTCGGTTGAAGCAATAGTATAACAAGCCACTACAAAATTATTTCGGGCCTTTGTTGATAGATGACGCGAAAAATACGATTCTAGCAAGTATTGGACTTTGAAACACTATTCAAATTCTAACAATTTATATTCACGATGTGTGCTCTACAAAAGATAAACGATTAATAATCTATATTCTCCAACTGACCTCTTATTCATCATGTAACGTAACCATCTGAGTCATGTCTTACTAATAGAATCAGAAGGTATCGATGTATAGGGTGGTGCGGTGTAATATCCAGTTTCTAACATCCGGCCATCCTACAAAGTCCTTGTCCTCAAGGTATCGATCTGAAACAAAAATCGGTATTGATTATTATCTGGACAGTCGGTGTCATTCGTTTTTGTTTTTGTTTTTCAGGGTACTTCACGTATGTTGATAAATGCTCAGTGTTTGAGACGTTTCTTATTAAACAAATTTCTACGGGACTGCGCTCCTGTGAGACAGTGTTTTAGAAATTCGCAATGATCCAGGAATGAATTTTCATAAGACTGCACATACTGCACAGCGATTTGAAAATGTGTTCGTCATCAATTTCTACCGAATTTTTACAGTACTGACCTGTCGAGGCCATTGTTTTAAAAACTTCCTAGAATAATGATCTGTATAATTTCTACGGTACTGTCAATGATACAGTGTTTTAGAAATATATTCGTCATCAATTTCTACCGAATTTCTACAGTACTGACCTGTCGAGGCCAGTGTTTTAGAAATTGCCTAGAATGATGATCTATATAATTTCTACGGTACTGTCAATGATCCAGTGTTTTAGAAATATATTCGTCATCAATTTCTACCGATGATGCATTCACTGGATTCCAAATATTCATCAATTACATAAAGCTTACAGGGGAGACATACTTCACCGATATCTATGGTGGCTTCGACAAATTGCTGAATGTCTATGCCATGTCCTAAAAATCCGGCTAGAGAAATAGGACGATCTAAATCAAAAGTATGTAGGCCCAGACGCTCAACAGTCTGTCTTTCTAACACAGAACAATCAGTTCCGAAATCAATAAAAGCTGACACTTCTTTGTCATTGATTGAAATATTTCTGAAGAATTTGCTTTTCTTTCCAGTTGATATTAACTTGACCTCAAATTTTGACTGAACTTCTCCCTTGAATTCTTTTTGCTGTTGGTTCTTTTTTTTCTTCTGAAAACAGGCAGCTTCAAAATGTCCTGGCTTGTTACATTATTTACAAGTTTGTTCTTTCGCGATATTCCTGAAGCTACAGTTTTTTTTATATGCCCCGTTTTACCGCATGTGTGACATTCAATTTTTGTTTGAGTTTGGAATTGATTTTGAAATTTCGCATCCCTGGTAGTATTATGAAAATGCGATTTGGTATTCGTAATAGTACTGGTCGAGGTACTGGTGCTACCACTCGCATTTACTGCGGATGATACAGTTTCATTATTAATTGAGCCCAAGATAAGAGAAATTTTGTCGGTTTCGGAAAAATTTAATTTGAGCGTATTTATTTTTGCCAGATGGTCAAAATGGAAAGAATATAAGGACTCCCCACGTCGTGGTTTATGATTGGCCACGTCCATGAACAGGGCGTAAGTATTACGATCTGCCTGGAAAACTTCTCCCAATAGTCTCTTCCATTTTGCCCATGAATAATTAGCCCACCCGATTTCATCTTTGATATAATTGTGGTACCATTTCTCAGCGGTACCTTTGAGTTTGTTGAGTGCTTGGAATATCACTGTATTTTCATCCCAATCATAGCATTTGGCATGTTCATCGATAATATTCAACCATTCATGAACATTTTCCTTTTTTGGGTCAAAATCAGGTATAACTTTTGCGAGAATATTGCTATTATTTCTTTCACGAAAAGAATTCAATGCAGCACTCACTCCTATTTCGATGAGCTGTTTGTCAGACAATCTTACTCTTTTGGATCCCCGTGAATGTCTCGACCTTTTCGAACTTCTCTTCTTTCTTGACATTTTCTTTTCTTGCCGTTTCCGACGTCTCCCTGTAGTCTGGCTTGAATTAGACGTTGTGGAACTTGCACTAGAACCTCTCGTTGAACCACAAGAACTCGATGAACTAGGGCTTCGTATTCGTTTATTTCTCGGCATTTTGGCAACTACACAGTTTCACTATGATTTTTTTCTCACTCCTTAAGCAGTTCTTTATCCACACTTCTGAGATATTGGACTATGGATATTGAAACACTATTCAAATTCTAACAATTTATATTCACGATGTGTGCTCTACAAAAGATAAACGATTAATAATCTATATTCTCCAACTGTCCTCTTATTCATCATGTAACGTAACCATCTGAGTCATGTCTTACTAATAGAATCAGAAGGTATCGATGTATAGGGTGGTGCGGTGTAATATCCAGTTTCTAACACAAGTATAGGCGATCCTAAGGAACGACTCTGTATTTCATGTTTATTGGGGTGTTGACTCATCATTGGTTATGTAAGGAATAACGGCTGAGCGGATGAGCTGGTAAGGAATTTGGGGTGATAAGCGGCGAGTCAGTATGCTCAACGCCTTCAGTCAGTCAGTCATACACTGTAATTCCTATTTTGCTATTCAATATATTTGTTTATTCACGTTCCGGGTTTTTTCCTGAGTGTTAGTCAAATTCTGTAGTTTATACAAGAAAAAAATGTAAAGTTGAGTCGACAATAATAGTGACCGTGACATTAACTATGTACAATCTAGAAGTGACTCAAGTGATAAAAATACAGCAGTATGTATCTTTTCCTAAATGTGGCTTGTGCATTATTACCATTCAATAATAAAGCGTAATAAAATATTACTATAGTCGTATGTCACGTGGCTTGTTATATTATTGCATTTTCTTGTAGGCGAATGAACAAGGCCTGTCAATAAAAAGCTTGTCAGGAGTAACCATTTCTTTTAGACTCCCTGATAGAAAAATTTGTTAAACGCAGTGACATCTTGGGGCAAATCATCTGATTTGTCCCTCTACAAATATATTGAAATAATACGAATATTTTTATTTTATAGAAACGAGGAGAGAAAATCCCAAAGAATCAAGTAATAGTTATTTGTTTAACTAGGCAGCAAAGTAGTAGATTGACTGCCGAGTTGAACATATAATTTTTTCTCCGATTGTTCATAATGATATGGGAGAATATTGTATTTGCGAATTAATACAATTCCCACAATCTCTTTATTCTTCCTGTATAGTGTTCAATTAAAATAAAATTTGATAGAAATCGCAGTTGTTGGTTTGACAATTCATGAAATTTCTGACAGTTGTGCGAAAAAATATCGGTATATTTAAATTATTATATAATGGACAGTGATAGCGACCTGGAAGTATACTTACACCTCCATTAATAAGGGAGGTGGCAAAAAATATAGAGTTGGATTTGTTGCCGGAGAAGTCTCGGATGGAATATGAAGGAAATTATAAACGATTTATGGATTTTTAATTTTGCTGATACATATCAATCACCAAAGTAACCATTTTGCTGCCTAGGCAGCAAAGTACCCACTTTGCTGCCTAGGCAGGAAAAGTAATACTTTGCTGATCGATATGTGTCAGCAAAATTAATATTTGCTGCCAACCGGAGGAAAAATCATTTTTCCTTTTCGATGCTTTTTATTATTTCACATTAAGCCCTTCATTTCTTGACGCACAGAGTCCACGGAAGCCGTCCACGCTGAGGACGCCAAGGAGATCCTGCCGGGCAAGGCGTACCACTGGCGCGACTGGTCGGTGTGCCGCGGCCGCGACTGCCTCTACATCTGGTCGGATGCGGCCGCGTTGGAGCTGTCGAACGGCTCGAACGGCTGGTTCCGCTTCATCTTGGACGGCAAACTGGCAACCATGTACTCGAGCGGGTCGCCCGAGGGCGGGGCGGATACTACGGGTGAGTGGGACGGTGGGCAGTGGTCGGTGTGGTATGCTGTGGGTGTCCCGTTTCGAGTGTAGTCGCCGGGGTATTTTATTGACTCAAAATTACAATATTTGATAGCAATTCTGGGAAGCTTAAATATATCACATTTGAAACCATTAATGAAATAACAAAATAAAACAATTAAGTGACTCGAAATCATGCACTATAGGAAGCATCGCTGGCTGGCTGGCGTTGGGCATGTAACCCAGAGGTTGTGAGTTCTACTCTCACACGGGGCGGTGGAGTTTTTTCATTTTCCATTGTCACTCGAAATTAGGGCTTTCAATCTCCATCATTATAGTGATGTTTATGGCAAAACAACGTGTGCCTGGTCAGCTAATAGGTATATACAACAGTCTAACTGAAACATTTTGATTCATCTACTAGCCCTTTTGATGAACCTCAAATTCTGGTGACATCACTAATATAACTGTCATAATAATATGATGATACAATCCAATGTAAAGTGAGTTTTGAACTATCTTCCTCAGTTCATCCATGACATTGTTGAAATCAGTTGAATTTTGAGAGCAGTGAATGTTGAAATATACAAATATGCTGAAGAATCGGTTCAGACAGCAGCTGTTTATCTCACCGACTTGAATTATCGATTTTTTTCCGACTACCAACGTCATATTATTTTTTCTAGAAATTAGTGTTCTTGCCTATTGAAGGATCAAATAATCATGGTTCTTGAAAATTGGAATTATACACTCACCGGTAAAATGAAACCGGCCACCAAAAAATTTGCTCAAATTGTTCTCCCTGCAACTTTTTTATTTGTCCGAAGAAATTTCGATCAAATCGTAACTGATCGTCGAAAACTTGATGAATCGATCATTATACAGGGAAAAACCAAAGTTACTATTTCACCCTTTACTTCGTAACGCCCTGTGGCAAAATTGAGTGGTTGAACTTGGCCTCATTATGCTTTGGATTGAAGTGTGATCCCTTCTTAACGTTTTTGATTCACGTCAATGTCTTATTTTCAAGAAAAGACACGAGTGTTTTAAGAAAGTATGGCATTTTTCAATTTGTATTAACAATAATCAGAACCTACATGAACTTATTGATCAACAACTCAAAGAATTATTATCACTTATTTGTACATCATTTTCTTAGCACTCACCGGAAAAAACCTTAATTACAAAAAACAGACATGCAAGTAGTCAATAACGAGTATCTCCTCGAGTTTGAATTACAGCTTTCAACCGCCGTAGCATCGATTTGATCAAATTTCTCAAGTAGTCTTGAAGAATTGCCTAAAATTCTCCTTGAAGGGCGAATTGTAGCTCTTGAAGAGTCTCTGACAAGGCCGAACGAAGGTTGATGAGCCTCTGGAGTTCATCCCTAAGATGCTCTATAGGTTCTGGATAATTGTTAATAAAAATTGAAAAATTCCATACATTCCTAAAACACATGTATTTTCATCTTAAAAAAGAAGATATTGACGTGAAAACATGATGATGAAGCAGAAGGTTGGAGAATGATTGATCCTGAATTATTGTTGATAAAAATAAAAAAATTCCATACTTTCTTAAAACACTTGTATCTTCTCTTAAAATGTGGTTATCGATGTGAATCAAAGACCATTGTGTCACATAAGAATGGACTTCATGGTTCAATTGAATTACACTTCTGTTCAGATCTACATACTTGTTTTATAAATCTGCTCTGTTCAATTTTTAATATTTTCGAGATTGGTAAAATGCCAGTTTGTTCTTCAACTTGTTTTGTTCCTGTTGTGTTCAATATCGAATACTACTTTCACAACTCTATTTTGTAATTTTGCTTCTTTCTCAGAAAGTGTCATCCCCAAGTACCTACCCCATATATGAATCAAAGATCCAAAGATTGATTTAAAGAATGTATTATAGAATTGTATATACAGGGTGTTCCACTTATGATGGGCTATTCCATAACATCCGCGATAGTTACTTATTTCAAATGCAACAACCTGTATATAATTTGGATTCTTGACTTCTACAAGCCATTTTAGGCAAAGTTCCTTCACACTTCCCTGTTATTAAATTCAACCGTCTCGGCGTTATTTAATATTCTTAGAAGATTTTGACGTTTGTACTGATCCAATGTACCTACACTTGAAGCGGGATACTATATTTTCCGAGAAAGTTTGAAGAAAAAATTATTCCAATGTGTCCAGGGTCAGTGTTTGGTCATTTTATATCTAAGATTCCAATCAATGTGTGAAATGTGGAAGTTGAAATGTTGCTCAAGATTGTGCAAATTTAACTGAAAATGGTCCACGAAAGTACTGCCAACATGAATTTGTAGGAAAAGTTTCCTGTTGTGCTTTGTAATACATTAAAAACCAACTATGCATTGTCGTTCTAGATGACAACCTACTTAGGTAGTTAGTAGGCAAGAGCTATAATAACCTCCTCGCGTACTAGGTCGCCTACTAGGTTTTCATTTAGATCGACAATGAACTATGTGTTTACCTCTTCATGCTTGATCAGCTCATTTATCATCATCTAGAACGTTTTTTTTTTGCTTTGGCTTTTTCTAATATTAACTGTTGCTGCAAAAGTTGGGTTAATCTACCTTCAAAATGTATGGCATATTGAATGTAAAAGAATGGTAAATAAACAATTTTTCGTTTGTGATTTCCTCAAAATATATTTGATATGTGTATGAATGTCTGAAGGCATTTTTCAAACTTGTGTATTGAATTTCCAGTCCAGTATTTCACAGTAGTTTATTTTGAGATGGTTTTTCAGCAGTGATGTTGTGTATATTAAGGGTTAAGGATACAATGCAGAGAAATACAATCATAAAGGTATGATCCATAGGCTATCATAAAAAATTCAGCCCTACAAAATTGCTGATGTTGATTTTTCATTCAACAATTTTCTTGGGCATTTGAAAATAAACATTCAATTGTAGTTGAGCATTGCCAGATGTAACCATAGTATCATTACATAATTTTTATGTTTACTAACTCTTTCATTGGCTTCTCTCGTTTTAACTATTATCGTTAGTTTGTATTCTAAATTTAGAATTGTCTTTTTGGAAAAGTGATGTTTTTGTTCTGTCTCAAATATAGGCAAAGGACGTGCGGCAGATTCCCTCACGACTGAAGGTAAGATTGCTTTTTTTTTCTGTTTATTTAACGTCTCGTTGAGTTGCCAGTTTTTAGTGCTTGTATCCATATCGCTTTATAGTTTGTAATCGCAAAAAAGTTTATATTTCAATGTTGCTTGCTGTATACATCAACAGATGCAATGTATACTTTAAAATGAATTTTTCCTCAACAGGGTATTTGTCAAATCACATATTCTCATATGCTTTCTTAAAAAAAATAATACAGCTCAAAATAGAAAAATGTCTTCTATATCTTGGTATACAGGGTGATTCAGGTTTTGGGGTACACACTGAAGTGGACGATCTCATCATTTCAATTGAAAAAGTTATATTATGAGTCCGATCTCGATCAGTAGCGGATCTACAGGAGGTCAAAGTCCAATTATTTGTTTCCATTAATTAAAATATCTCGCTCACTTTTGAAGATATCAATTTGAAATTTGGTGTGGTAAATTCTTTCTAGGAGTTCATTATTTCAAGCATTTTAGTGATTTTTTAAATCTACAGGGTGATACGTTTTTGAAGGTATAGTCTTCTTTATCCACCCCAAACTTTTTCGTCTTCTGACATTTTCCGGTTACCAAACAGGGTGAATCTTTCAATTTAGAGAATTTTCAATTCTTTCCGAGAAACGAACCGTTCTCGAGATAAATAAGCATATCCGTTTTGAAACATATTAATTTTATCATTTTTTTCTTGGACAATATTAGCAAACAATGATGGAATACGCAAAATAAATAATCACATTCCACAAGAAGACTCTTCCCGACAAGTTGAATGCTATTTTATTTTTTATATTGAAACAGAAATTGGATGAGGAATATGGATACAACTGGATGGGGCTTAACCAGTGGCTTAACACGAATTTTCTGCTTCGTCGTTAGATTGGTCGATTAAAAGCAACCCGACCTACCCTCTGTATCCCCGCTACTGATTCAGATTGGAATTTGGTACATTTTATTGCATTAAGCGAATCATAATAGGCAAAATCAACATGTAATTGTACGGATATGCTTATTTATCTCGAGAACGGTGCGTTTCTCACAAAAAGTTGAGATGCAGATAAAGTCTATATTGAACGATCCAGAACTGGGAAAAGGTTCTTCTACACCCAAAAACGTATGACCCTGTGAAAAATCTTTGAAATGCTTCATATGATGATCTTCTAGAAAGTATTGACCACATGAAAATTCAAATTGATATCTTCAGAAGTGAGTGAGATATTTCAATTAATAGATGTAGCGAAACCAATACGAGATTGCTATATTCCAGTCATTTCCCGAAATAATCACCCCAATTGTATTGCATTTCATACTTTATCATTATCCCCACGGGTAATCCCCTGGGTCCGAATCCTCGTTTCAAAATTAATTAGTTGTCTCTAGTTTTTGTTGAATACCGAAAGAAGCGAGCTCCCGTTTTTATAATAAAGTAAAAATTTCGAACGTTGCGGCTCTTGGGAGTGTTCAGTGCGTAAAATATATCCAAGCTGATATCGTCAACCAAAAAGTTTTCCCCAATTTCGAAAATGTTTGCCATTGACTGCACAGAATCTTTGTGTTATCATCTGTCCTGAAATATAATTATTTCAGCAACAGTGTGCCTGATCTGTCAGGTGAGTTACGTCATTAAAATATATTGCTTATAGCACAGATCTTATAGTTTACTGGACTCGATTATCTTTGCTACTTATTGGTCAATTGTATTCGGAATATATCGCGGAAAAAAAATGTTGTATTTGGTTTTCTGTCAGTTTTTAGACGCATGCTACGATTGGGTGGAATTAAAACTTGGTCTGCCCGACTTAGCGAGTTTTCCTTACCCAGAAACAACATATACAGTGTGGACCCATATAAACTACCCCCTGAGATAAAGAGAGTTTCGCCGCATAGAAAACACTTTTTTGGTCAAAATGATGGGATCTATCACCCATTTCAGTTTGTACCTTAAAACCTGAATCACCCTGTATAATAATTCTCAAAATTAATAGAAGCCCATTATTTGAAATCACTTTTGAAGGAAAGAAGTCAATAATGTGTCCTGATATGTTCAATGATTTCAAAAACCTACAAGTTACGTACGTTTTAGGGTTGTGTTTTAGCTCCTCTCTTAGCGAGTTCGTCAGTTATCTCTTCTTCGGAATGTTCCCTTACCCCGTAAAAGGGTGATTATATTTCTTGTCTAGCTCTTTCAGTCTTTCTCGCCATTCACAAAGAATTTTAGATCGGATCACAAGAAGTATATTACTAGAGGGATGTTCCCAAAGTTTTGGAAATTGTGCTAAAATTAAATTTTGCAGAACTCATAGATAGGCAATGTTATTGGTGCCAGACAAGTCTTGAATTGTTTATTTAATTATTGCACAATGGGCGAGTGGACTGATGATGAATTATCGGCATTCAATTACTCCACTGTGTCTTTAGGAACCAAAATTGATTTTTGCAACACTTCTCATGCTTTTTTATGTAAAGAATGAGTCTATGCGTTCGAAATTCTTGAATTTCAGAGCTCATTTCAAACGTACAGGGTGATTCACCATAAATGTCCCCCCCCTCTAGCTCAGTTATTTTTGAACCGATTTTAAAATTTGAAATATCACCTTGAATGATTTTCGATTAAGTTTTTTTCCGCTAGATCAGAAAATATAGGGTGCTCGGAACAAACGATCTACAGGGTACTGTTTGGTTTTTTTAAATGGAACACCCTATTTTTCATTGTATTTTTAGATTCTCCCTGAAGAGCTGATTTGATCAATGTATCACACTTGGGGTCTATCGGGAATGATTACAGAGATATAGGGTGTTCAAAATCGAGATTTTTAACTTTAGGATTTTTTGGTGACGAAACTATTCATTATCGGTCACGCGGTTTTCATGTCCGTATCTTAACTTTTGATTTACTATCTACTGACATTTAATAATTGGAACAGATACAGGGTGACCAGAATTCTGAATCTTGAACCACCCTGTAAATGTTCCAATTAAATTTCACTAGATAGTAAATCGAAAGTTGAGATGGGAACATAAAAGCCGTTTTGAAAGTTGAAAAATCTCGATTTTGAACACCCTATATCTCTGTAATCATTCCCGCTAAACCCCAAGAGTGATACATTGATGAAATCAGCTCTTCAGGAAGAATCTGAAAATACAATAAAATACAGGGTGTTCTATTTAAAAAAATCAATTAGTACTCTGTAGATCGTTTATTCCGAGCACCCTGTATCTGATGCAACGGGAAAAAAAATTCTGAAAAATCATTTTAGATTATCTTTCAAATTTTTAAAACGCGAATCACCCTGTACCTTCATGGCCGCCATTTGGCGAAACGTCGAATAAATGGTGACGTCAGTTTTTATATTGTTTCGTTATTGGTCAGATAATCTTCAATTTTCACTCACTGAAGCAAGATTGTCAAGTCACCAATAATTATGATCAAGTTATCAAAAAATGTTTGAGTCTTGTTGAATAATACATAATAGGAGGAACCCATGATATTATAGTTCATTCTGGACTTTTTCGAGCAACCAGCATGTCCAAATATTTCTTATTCGCCATAACAAAATATAATGTATTTGTTGGAGACTTGACAACATTGTGCTGACTGCTGAGAACTGACAAGACCACGCTTACAAGTCGTTGCCGGGTTGTCACGTTCACCGATTCAAATGTTCTATAGTGTGAATTTTTTTTTTCTTTCGCAATTGCATACCTCGTTAGTCCCAGCACTGGGACCCCATAAGTCGAAACTTGTGCGGGATTAGATATACATACAAACACAAACATCCATGGCCTAACTAGGATTCGAACCTAGGTCTCGGTGGGAGTCCCCATACGAACTCAGCGCCTTAACGCTCTCGACCACCGAGCCGAGTGTGAATTAATATAATTATTATTTACACAAATTTATTATAAGCAATAAGGCACGAATCATAAGGGAAGATTTCGAGATAATTGCATTTTTATTGCTAATTAGGAATATTACCAAAACTCAATTGTGAATTTATGAATTATTGAATAACTGATATTTCTGAAGTTCCCAATCGTATTTCAGCACATGGCAACTGTTCCATGGCCTGCTCCTACTTCCAGAATCGTGGCGTCAGCTTTTACTGGCGGTAAATTTCTAGCCGTTTGAAAATTAACGTGGCATTATTGATGATTTTAAGCACCTAAAAATCGACCGAAAATTGCTTAAAAAATATGAAATTAATTGATCATTCTATTTAAGAAATAAAAAAAATAGTCCACTCGCCTATTCCCTGAACTTTGAAACATCTGTTTCATGAGAAATCTCCTAATTATCGAAAAAACTACCTAGTTGCAATGTTATCGGTTGTTCGACAGAAAACCGCGGCGAGTTCCTCGAAAAGCTACAAAGAGCGCGGGCGGCCGTCAGGTGCACCAACAATTCCACGCCGCTGCTGTCCAAACCGGGCCCCACCCGGCTCGTGGTCGGCAACTGGTCGCTCACAGCGAGAAAGGAGGCCGAAATCCACATCCACAACTCGGACGGACAACAGCAGACGACGATTCTGCGCGAGGACCTGCCCGGATTCATCTTCGAGTCCAACAGAGGCACGAAGCATTCCTTCATCGCAGAAACCTTTTTAGGTATGAATATATTGAATGCAAGTCTTTACAATCTGAAATTATTCGTTTTGAAACTGCTAGAATAGTTGTATTTTTTTCATAAAAACATGTAATTTGATGTGATTTTCTCTCATGCATTGATGAATAGCATTATTATAACTCACTCAGCACCAGAATGCTTGTGATAAGAGCGTTTCAACACCTCATTGATCCCAATAGATCACGTGTGTCTCATTTCATATTGTATCAAATACTGATCAATAAACAACAAATGGAAGGACAATGTAACTTTTCAGTTCTACACTAAATTTAACTCCAGCATACTACGTGGCCGGCTTGGAAAAGTTGGTTAACGAGTATGCGCAGTGCCTTTTGTCGTACTGAACCCGCCTTGGACAATTCAAAACATACCATTATATCATCGCTGTTACTGCAATATGCCGTTAAACTAAAACAATGGACCTACAAAAAAACTCCTCAAGATCGACAGTAAAACGTAAAAATGGGTGATGGACGATCCATAATGAGATTACAGAGAAGCTGACACTGATAATAGTTATTTATGTATCAAGGGCGTAAAGTAGGCGTTTATGGCCTGTGGCGTGAATAATGGCCCGATGGCGCTAGCCGAGGGCCATTACACGCTGAAGGCCATAAACGCATTTCACGCACGAGATACATACAAAATTTTATGCACTAGTGGTTTATTTTCTGACTCATAAGTAATGACTATAGATTTCGATAAACTAATATTCCCCAGAATTTAATTTGTTACGTATTAATTCAGTAATTAAGAGAAGCGTAATGTTCATGAATGATTTACATATGAAAATTATCCTACGAATATTGCAATTATCGTAATAGTTGAACTCTTTCAGCTCTAGAAGAGATTCATTCTTCAGAATTTTATATACAATATGCATACCCAGTATATAAACCTAACTTATTTTGACGTTGTCAATCAATCTGATGGTTGTTGTCTATAGCAATACATCCAATAAACGAGCTGAATTGTCATTCTTTGACTGAAAAGTAAAATTGTGATAATAATAATAGCGAGACTATGGAATCGGATAAAGAAGAACTTTATGATATACCGCTGGATTGGAATTGATACTTGGATATAAGGTGACTGAGAACAGCGGGCGGTAAAGTGCACTTTACGGCCCGTGGGCCATAATGATCCCGCGGGCGGTAAAGTGCGACTTAACGCCCGCGAAACCGGGCGGTAAAGTGCACTTTACGGCCCGCTAGTGCATAAAATTTACAACGTGTATACATACGTTCCATGCAGTGCTGACGTTCATACAGACCCTGCAGGTGCCTCAATCTATTTTAATAATTTTATTACTTGATTGTTGGTCGTGAAAGTTCTTCGGGCAATTCATTAAATAGACAGGTGCCTGACGTGGTTCTTGAATCTGTGAATTATTTTCATTCAGTGATGATATAATGTAGGATACGACTCTGTATTTGTAGGATACGACTCTGTATTATCCATATCAGTTTATCTTTTATTTTGAATGAGTGATGTTGCTATAGTAAGATGTAAATATAATTTTAAAAAAATAATAAATCTTCGAGTTGAGGAATATAATTTATATTGAAGATTCATCGAAGTATTTGATGATATCTATTATATATAATACTTACATCATATAACTTCCTTTAATTGAACGGTTTCAACTGATTTATTTTTATAGATCCATTTCTATGGGCAGACAAAGTGACGTCAGTTCACCTGTCTGGTTTTTCGATTGAAGAACTCTGTTCAAAAATTGAGAGATTTCATACAAGTATTTATAGGTCACAAGAACCCAAAAATGTGCTTGTAGAGGTTCAATAATTGATGAACAGTTTATATTCAAATAATACCGATATTTTAATGCCTTTAGAGGAGGAGAGGAAATTTCAACAATTTAGAGACATAATATTCCTCCTTCTCCATACAGACTCGGTATGGCAACGAAATCATTGGCCGGGAGTTCTTCAGTTGTTCTTCGTGTGAAACTTTTGACATTCGAATCGAAGATATAGTTCCATGAAACCCACATTTTGCATGACAACAAATTGAATATCACTTCCGGTCTTACCGGAAATAGACCTAAGTTGACAATTTTCAATGGAACCTTGTATATATTTTTACGCTATTCGATGGTGCAAAAAATGTCTTCTTCAATTACATCGAAAGTGCATATTTGTTTTCGAAATGGCGACGCAGGAGACATTCTTTTATAAAAACAATATGGCTACAATGTGACGTCAATGATCGAGCCTAATTAAATAGCAAATAAATAAGGTACTTGGATTAGTTTTTGATTCAACGCCAATCAAGATTCGTTTTAGTAATTCTTTCCATGACAAATTTCAAGAAGGAATATTCTCAGATAAATTATGAACAGGAAAAAAATGTATATATATAGAGAAATACATGAAGAATTCGCACTGTCTATGTGATGAAAATATAAATTCTTTCTTGGTTTATTCAACAGAAAATAAATACTTACCTGGTTATATGCCACGACGAACATTGAATTATATCTATAACAGTTATAATTCAATGTTCGACGTGGCAAATAGCCAGGAAAGTAGTTGTTTCCTCTTGAATTTGATAAATCATTAGGTATGTACTAGAATATATGAGGAAATGGACTTCAAAATCCAGGAAACTGTCAAAATATCTTCATCATTAGGTACTTATATCAATTTTAATTCAAGCCAATAGAAAATTCACTATTACCTACTTAGTACAATGAAACACAACATGTGAAAGCCTGTTTGGCACAACATAGAATATCAATTTCAACTCAAGATAATAAAAAAATTGTGGTATTACTCAGTAGGTACACAATGTGAAAACCTTTTCATCGCTACACAGTAAATTAATTTCAACTCAGGATAATGAAAAAAAATTACTTGGTACATTGAAACAACACAAGATGGTTCATATAATAATAAATATTACAACACAAGGAAATTAGGTATCTCCGAAGTGTTGAATAATTTTGCACTTTCTTAGTACAACATTGACGAAATTCATAGACAATGATGAAACAAGTTTAATATATAAATGTATGTACAATGCGTGGCGATGATGTTTTTGAAACTGATTCGATAATCCGCCTATTGAGGATTTTGAAATTTTCTCGATCATAACATCAAAAATATACTGGCTGTACCTGCATTCTAGAATAAATGAGATCGGCAGTTTGTTTGATTGCACACCTAGTATATACACCTCTATCACTCGATAATTAGGTAGGGAATATGAATTCATCCCTTATTTATTTGAGGCAATAAGTTGATCCCAACGATTCAATTATACCAGATATTCTGATTTTTCGTTATTGTTACTCAATTTTTTGACACTTGCAGTGTTAATTTCACTAGATCGGGAATAATAATAAACTGGGTTTCATTTGAATGTCAATGGCTGTTGCAATTGACAATAGGTGGGTACTTGATTTCAATTGAAAGAAATGCACCTTCATTTGCTATTTATTAAGATGCTTGCCATGAAAGTGTCATTAGACAAGGAATTTTTCGTTCTATCGAATGGCGTAATCTTCAGGTTTCCATTCGAAATTCTCGAACAACAACTGAATGATACCCTGGCCGATGATCTTGTCTTCCCCGGTATAACCCTGCCAGTTACCATAAATTCTCCATTCCGCACCCCTTTCTCTCAACCAGGTCCCGAATTCTCCGCCGGCTGGACCAACAAGAAGGGCCATCGCTTGCGCTCGAAGCTCGAGGCCACCAAGATGAAGGTGAAATACCTGGCGCACCAGATCTACGAGCAGCACTTCAGGGCGGCGCAGGCGCAGCCGCGCGGCATCGTCGCCAAGCTGGGCGGCATCGTGGCGCAGATCGAGCGCGCCTGCCAGAAGCAGGGCTCGTACGGCAACAACCGCGAGGGGGGGAATTCGTGGCGAGATATTCTGCTGGACGCGCTCGATGATCTCACGCAAATTCTCAAGGTAACTATTGGTCGTTATAGTGATGATGTTACGTTATTCGGGTGCAGAAGCGAACACGACACTATTTATTTTCGAACTGATTTATTTTAACTAATGGAACACTGATTTATATCGAACTTACTACTATTTATGTAAAACGATTCATATCACGCGGTATATGACTGTCTCTCTGACACTCGCTGATTAACTGACTGACGGCAGTTATCCGGCTTTGCTTCTCGAACGTTCTCGAATGATCTTCCATACCCGTCTTTTGTTCTAGAAGCTTCTTAGACAATACCTCTCTCTGATTGTTTCATCGATTGTTTCCAGAACATTCCAAAATCTACTGTCACGTTATTTGTCATCGCGACATATATTGAGTGTTCGGACATAGGCTAGTACATGTAGGAATCATTGGGATGTTGGAGAACAATCTGGGATGCGTGTTACAGGATGATCGTTGTACTCCTGCCTTCCTGATGATGTTTCTAGAGCCCCTCTAAGGGGGATTTCATTACAATAATATATCTTTATTCATCTCTTTTTATATTTTTACAATTACTTATTTATTCATTATTATTCTTTCTATTTATTTGTTGACAATGTTACTTCCATTACAATAAGATATATCACGAGGTGTATTAGGTATATTAGAGCTGAACTTCAAGTCATTCCAGTAATTTTAAATAGACAAACCAATTTGAACTCTTCATTTAACTAATTCACTGTTCTCACAGTATTCACGATCAATGAATCAACAGAAAAATCGATTTTTTTCGATGTTTCTTCTCATGGTAGGCATGGCATTCGTTGATATTTTGACGTTTGTTCAATATTGCTCTCATAATTTGATATAGTGAATGTCATTGCTGATTTCTGCTTTATGTAGTCTTGTATAGATATTGGAAAAATGCAGACAAGGCTTCGATTAATTTATTGTCTGAGAAATCCAGACTCGTGTATATACAAGGATTATTTTACACTCAAGAATTAGTATGTAATTTTATGAACTACAGAAAAAAACAATTTTCGGGAGTTATCATCAGCTGTTCAATGGTCGACAATTTTACGTCATATGACATCACTGACAGTGCTCTACTATAACAAATTCATAAATATATTTGGTTTCATCAATATTAAATATGAACAAATCATTTTATATTGATGAACAAGAATCAATTTTAATGGGTATTACAAGTTGAAAAAAATAAAAACACGAATGAATCATCTATAATAATAAGTGTTTTCAGTTCATATTTGAATTCGATTATATTTCTGCAATTTTTTATATAATCGGGTTTTCAAATATCAGTGTGGATGAATTATCCAATTGAAGATTCAGCAGCATCAAGATGAAATGAATCATGTTGTCTAGTTTGGTGATCATGAATTTCATAGTTTCTTGTTAAAATGGAATTTCATTATTTTATTTGATTTGAACATTACTTCTAACCAAATCTCAAGATTCTTTTTCTCATCAGTTTGTTTCAAAGATTCATCTTCAATTTTTAGATCGAAATTCATATTTGGTTGTTTTCTTGTTGTAAAATCATATATTCAGTTTTATTATTTATTGTTAAAAGATTTGAATATAGCAATTTTTAAAATTTCATCAAGTCTGTCAATTATAATTCCTAAAATAGGACTTTTAGTTTCATATGAAAGTACCATACCTTCTGCATAAATAGTATAACCCCTTTCTGTTTTTCAATTTCGGTGATATTTTGAATCAATAATAATAAGATTGGTCCTAAAACAGATTATGGGTAGTCTATGAGACTCAGTTAGTAGATTTGGTACTGATACAAATATTTTATTTTGAATATTGGTGATGAGTTCTGATTCAAAACCAAATCAACGTGCTCACTTGCTTGCCACTATTGAAGTTCGTTCTTCGCCATTTTTACGAATTATGGCGATGTCGCTTTGTTTTTCGCGACTCTCATAGTTTTGTATATTTTATTTGATCGCTATATTTTATTCATTGGTGGCAAGCGATAGTACACCATGAGCCTTCTTAAGGTTTAAATTTAATGTAACAATTTCGATAACAACCTTTAAATTCATTTATCCCTGAGATATTTAGATTTTAGTTACATAGAAAACGTGAAAACACCCTCTTGAAGAATGTCATTTTGCCCAATTTGTCACTACTCTGGAGTAGAGGCAAACTGTTCAATTTCATAATATTTACCAATAAAACACCTGTGTAACAAACAAACTAACCTATCCATCATATAACAACCGTTATTTCAACCGTTTTATTGTATATTTCCAATTGAAGGAAGATGGCGTGGTGTCCGCCTACGAACTGCACAGTTCCGGCCTGGTACAAGCCTTGCTATCCCTTTTATCCACCAGCTATTGGGACCAGGGCTTGAAGTCCAGCAAGATGAGCAAATATCAGAAACAAAGAGTCCAAGTGTTCAAACAATGTTTCAAGAAGAGATCAAACGAAGACAATGACACGATACTGATACTAGTCCACAAGTTGATCGCTGTGCTCGAAAGTATAGAGAAACTACCCGTTTACCTTTACGATACGCCCGGTACAGGGTATGGCCTTCAGATCCTGACAAGGCGTTTGAGATTCAGGTAATTATCGATTTTTTTATTCTTATATATGACGTTTCACTGAAATTTATGCGAGATCTTCGAAAGAAATATTATTATGGTACTCGACAGAATAAATCGTTTGTTTTTATCAAAAAGTGTTTGAATAAAATGAACAAAAATGGTTACTGTTTTGTTGTGACGAAGAAGAAACATCCGAAGTGAAGTTTTTATGCGTAATTGAGTGATAATCCTATTTTTATGGTTTTCATTGTAAAAATGTGATCACCAATCAGGAATCAATTGCCATCTCATATTCACCGTATGTCAAGAAACGACACTAATATATCTATCTAACAGCCATCAAAATAATTTTGTTTGACAAAAAAAATTTTTTTTTAACAGATCAAATCTATATTTAAATATCTATGTTTTCTCATTTCACTTCTGTTATCAAGAAATAATGTAGTCTACGGTATTTTCTGTATTTTGCCGAAATTACTAGGCAGCAACCTGTGTGATTATGTTTGAGTAGTTTGATGCTTATCCAATACCTACCTCCTATCCTCCAATACCTACCTCCTATCCCTATCCTCCCTAGGAACGCACGATGTTCTTTGAACATTATAGGGATTCCCTTTCGTGCGCTCCAAGCGATAAAAAAAAGAAAATCAAAGTTTCAGGACGGCTTGTATAAAGATGACCGTTTATAAAAATACAACATCGACAAGTGATTCATTCTGATGCTACGATGCTAATGACTAAACCTGCTTCAATTTTCGATCACACGATGATTACCAATACCGATGATTCACCTTTTGACCATGGAAGGAGACACATGAATTATATCACCGGTTCCCATAAGCTTCCTAAGAACTGAAGATTCTGCACCGACGTTCCCAGGGACCTCTTAGATTTCGCTGACTCTTCAAAATCATCGTGTTGCATTTGTTCATTCCAACATTCAGTCAGACTTATAACTTTGTACGATAAACATCTCATAAAATTCGCTCTGCTTTTGTACTTTGACAAATAAATTGTTTTTTAAAAAGAGACTTTGCTAGTTCAAAAATAAAATTGGCGCAGTCGGTAGGATAGTCGGGATTAGTGCATCGTGCATTAGTTTTGTTTCTACAATTAACCGGCTATTTCAAAGAAATGTAGTATGCTACTTGGGGTAGGATCGCAATGATAAACTTGAGACGTACAATAAACACTTATAATCAGCTTCTCAGTAATACCACTTGTCTTTACGCTCTCTAGATGAATAATGATTAATCCTACCTTATACCGTTTACATTACATAAAACTATATTAGTCACTAAGTATATGAGTCGAGTCAGATGCCTTTCCATAGGCGGGTACTGCACGGCCATCCTGATTCGTTGTTGTCCTCAACAACTTCCTGGACTCCACTGCCTGTGAATAAGAATTCAAATAATTATTCTCAATTTTTTTTTTTTTTTTAATGATAATTCACTCCATTGAAGGCACAGTTTGTTATGAGACAAAATATACGAAATTCGAATGTTTTATTAATAAACATCAGTGGACTTATATCATCGAATGAATTGAAATCGTTAAAAACTATATTCACTGTGCTATAAAAGGCTCTATCATTTTAACAATAAGCTCGAGTGCCATCAAGGGCTCGGGTGCCATCAAGGGCTCGAATGCCATCAGAGGGCTCTATTGTGCCATCAAAGGGCTCGACTGTGCCATCAGAGGGCTCTATTGTGCCATCAAAGGGCTCTATTGTGCCATCAGAGGGCTCGACTGTGCCATCAGAGGGCTCGACTGTGCCATTTACCTCAACGTTTTTGGAACAAGAATGGTTTCATGTGTTCCCCTGCTACAATCCCTTCGTATGGGCGATTGGATCTTCCCGTATGCAAATCCTCCTTCACCTTGTATCGGTCATTCGGAAGGACCTCTATAACCTTGAAAGGCCCCCTGAATTTGGGTAGAAGTTTTTTACTCTCCCCAGTTGCTGCATTGCTAATGACTTTGGTCAGTACCAAGTCCCCTATTTCGAAAACCTTTGGTGGACCTCGTTTTCTATTGAAGGTGGTATTTTGTTTAGTTCTGTTCTCCTCCATTCTTTGTGCAGCTTCCTCTCTCATTGTGGTTACGTCCAAGGTACGGTCCATAACGTCATGAATATCGCCATCCATTTTCAGAGGAAATCCAAATAATAATTCGGCAGGCGTGTTCTGTGTGATGCGGTGTTTTGTACTATTGATGCCTTGCTGGATTATGCCTATCTTTGAGTCCCAGTTGTTGCCGTCCGTGTCCGCTCCCGACGTGGCCAAAGCATCTAGTATTGTTTTATTCATTCTTTCGACTTGTCCATTTCCTCTAGGCATGCCAACCGCTGTGGTATGCAATTTGATACCTTTTCGTACTAAGTAATCTTTGAAGTCGTTTGAGACAAGCCCTTTTCCTGCGTCTGCAATAATTCTGTTGGGGTTTCCAAAAATTGTGAACATTTCTGTCAAAACTTCCAGCACCCACTTAGTGCTCGTATCAGGAACTGCTTTCAAATAAGTGAATTTTGAAAACCCGTCCACGATTACGAGTATATATTTATTTCCCCTCGGGGTCATTACAAAGGGACCCAAATGGTCCAAGTGGAGAGTGTGATGTGGTCTCGCATATTTAGGTATTGAATGTAAGAATCCTGATTTTTTTCCATTATTTTCTTTATAATAGAGGCAATGTAAGCAAGCTTTGATGTATTTTTGTACGAATCTCTTCATCTTCGGAAACCAATAATGATTTTTAATTCTGTCAAGAGTTTTTTCTAATGCAAAATGACCTACATCGTCATGGTTGGCTTTCACTATTTGCCATCTACATTTCTTAGGTATCACCCATCTTCGACCATATGGCGTAAGCCGATAAACTTTATTACCCCGTAGATCATAATCTTTGAAAATACTTTTATTATGTTCTATATCACCACTCAGCAAAATGTCCTTGATTTCTTTTATAGAATCGTCCTGATCTTGTGCTTCGCGCAAATAATCGTTTTCACGTAGTTTCAGGATCTTTTTTGTTTCAAGATTCTCATTCGGCTCGAAATTACGGCTAAGTGCGTCTACATGTTGCATTTGTGTACCTGCTTTATGTTGTATAGTGAATGAATAGTCTTGCAAAAATAAAACCCACCTAGCTATACGCGGAACGATTGTTTGTTTGATCAGTGCATTCTTGACAGCATTACAATCGGTGAAAATGGTAAATTCATTTCCGATAAGATAAAATCTGAATTTTTCTAGGGTTTTTACAATTGCGAGTAACTCAAGTTCAAAAGAATGGTAGTTTTTTTCTGCATCGATGGTTTGCTTGCTGAAAAACGCAACTGGTCTTTCTTTCTTGTCATATTTTTGAACTAGTATACCTGCGAATCCGTCCCGACTCGCATCTGTGTAAACTATTATTGGTAATTTAGGATTGAATATACATAATACTGGTTGTGAACAGATTTTACTTTTGAGGTCATTCACAATTTCGGTTTGTGTATCGGACCATTTCCAACTAGAATTTTTCTTCAACAAACTCGTAAGGGGGGCTGTTAATCTAGCGAAATCATTTATAAATTTCCGGAAGAATCCAACTAGGCCTAGAAACTGCCTCAGCTGATGTTGAGTTTTGGGTATTGGGAAGTTGGAAACTGCGTCCGTTTTATATTTCGAAGGAGAGATCTGATTTAAAGAAATTTGATAACCCAGATATGTTATTTCCTGTACCAAGAATACAGATTTCGTCAATTTCAATGTTAGACCATATTCAACGAGTATATTTAGAACTTTTTCTAATAATATTAGTCCTTCAGCCTTTGACTTGGATGGGATAACTATATCATCAAGATAAGGTATCACGTGGAATTCCCTCAAGGGCTGAAAAATTTCGTTCATAAATTGCTGAAAAACTGATGGACAATTACACAGGCCGAATGGGGCCCTCAAAAATTCATAATGCCCTTCTGGCGTTATGAATGCTGTGTAAGGAATTGATTTGGGTTCCATAGGTATTTGATGGTAACCTGAAGCCAAGTCTATACATGTGAAGTAACTATAGTCTCCTAAATTATCAATAATTTCCTCTATTAAGGGCATAGGAAAGCTATTTTTCACTGTTATTTTATTGAGTGCACGATAATCAACTACCATTCTTTTTTCGTCGTTTTTTTTGTTTACTAGTAGGGCTGGACTTGAATAGGGTGACCTACTTTCTCTAATGATTTTGGCTTCTAATAATTCTTTTATTTTGGCTCTGATGATTTGTTTATCTTTTTCGGCACACCGATATGGTCGATGGGTGACAGGCTTATCAGTAGTTACTTCTACAGACAAGGAAACGGAGTGTGCTTTTCCAAGGTGATTCAAATTGGAAAACATGCACTTTTCATGTTCAAGTAAAATTTTGTCCAGTTGAGATTTTTCGAATTCCGTTAAAATTCCGCATTTGATGTTTTCCAGCCACTGAGGAGTTTTCACTTTGTTCTGGAAAGTTAACACGTCATCAACGCGGTAATAGATGATATCTTGATTTTCTGTAAAATTAGTACCAATCAAAATATCATTATCGATATTTTCGTCTTTCGTTACGTAATACACTATGTTCAGCGTAACGTCGTCGATACGTGTTAAATTTTCCGTAAAATGAGTTACAGTTGTTTCTGTTCCTAAAAACCCGGACAACCTAACCCACTGTTTCAGTGGTTCAATCTTTAAATGTAGTTTTTCTGCTACTTGCGATTTTATAATAGAACAATCGCTACCGAAATCAATAAACGCCGTACATTCCTTGCCATTGATATGAATTTTTTTGTAAAATTTTGAAGAAGTCGTATGATTATCTCGAATTAATTTTACGTTTTCCATTTTGAAATCTTTCTGTCTTCTTTTGTCGTTAGAAATATCTCTTTTGTTTTGTTGTTTGCTTGTACTTGCTGATTTGTTTTTGTTAAAACAAACAGTTTCAATATGTCCCTTTCTTGTACAAAAATTGCATATTTTATTTCTGTGTCGGCAACT